CACCTCTAGTACTTGGGTGGCCAAGGCAGAGGATCACAAGTTCAAAGCGAGTCTCAGCAATTTATCAAGGCTATAAGCAATTTAGTGAGACCCTGTCTCAGAATAAAAGATCAAAAGGGCTGGGGATGTGACTCAGTTATTAAGTGCCCCTGGGTTGAATCCCCAGTACCAAAATAACAACAACAAAATCCCACCCCCAAAAAATCCTGTAGTAAAAGGATGTCAGGAGTGTGGTGATGCATGCCTGTAATCCTGCAACTTGCAAGGCTGAGGCAGGAGGATTACAAATTTTAGGTAAGCCCGGGCGGTTTCTGGAGACCCTGTCTCAAAAAATAAAGGGCTTGGGACATAGCTCAATAGTACAGGGCCACTGGGTTCAATTTCCCATACCATTGATAGATAGATAGATAGATAGATAGAGAGACATACATACAGACAGACAGACAGACAGATATTCACATGTCCAATGTCAGTTAGGAAACTGTCCAGGTGCCAGTAACCATCAAGAAATTCTTGGCTATCTTAATAGGGTTTGACTATCCTATAGGGTTTGGAACATGTGCCACAGCCACCTAGTGGGAAAAATAGTGATTACAACCATGATAGCTTTCATCATGACAAGCTGGATCCCTACATTGCTTACTTCCTTGCTGATTCTCAAGAATTAAGGATTAAATTGAATCAGTTAATTAGAGTCCAGGGGCTGGCAGCTCAGGTTTGTAAATACAGTGCTTTGGAATCAGGGTAGGATTAGGGTGATGCAAGGGCAAAAATGTGTGCCGGATTCTGTCCTTACTGAAAGGCTGGTCTAGTTCTCCGTAATGGAAAGCATTTATTTTTAATGGAAAGCATTTTTTTTCTGCTTCCACTACCACCCTGTTTTCTTGTGGGTCTAAAGATAATGGTAATCTACATGCTTCATTGTGCTTTCCACAACCTTCCCTCCCAGCCAACTATTTTGCTCTGATGCTGCCTGAGATCACAGATATCCACTGTCTGCCTGAAACACTGTGGACAGAACACTGTGTCACATATCTGAGAACATCGAGGTTCAAAACCTGCACTTGCCAGCCACCCAGTGCTTTCCCATGGAGCCAAGACATCAGAGTGGAGGTTTGAAAGCAGAGTCTGGTTTCAAGTCCTGGTGCAGTGTGGGTCATGGTCTTTCACAAGGCTCAACATTTCTGGATCTGTTTCCTCACTTGCAAAAAAAAAAAAAAAAAACCACAAAACAAAAAGCATAATAATAGTAATGCCTACTTCCCAGAAGTTGTGAGAATTCAAGGAGTATTTGTTTACAAAAATGTTGGTTGTGTAAATTGTAAAACTTCATATTAATGTGAAATATAACAATCATTAATACAAAGCGAGATGAGATTATAATTAAAATGCTAATGAAAGGAAATTGTGGTTTCAGTTGAGCTGATTAAGAGATTTTTTTTAGAGAGAGAGAGAGAATTTTTTAATATTTATTTTTTTAGTTTTTCGGTGGACACAACATCTTTTTATTTTATTTTTATGTGGTGCTSATGGAACCCAGAGCCCTGCGCATGCCAGGCGAGCGTGCTACCGCTTGAGCTACATCCCCAGCCCCAAAGAGATTTTTTTTAAATAAAATAAAAGATCACAGAGAACTGGGTTCCAGTAAATGAGGAGTAGTAACTACTAGAACTTGATTATTTTTTGGGGGGGAGGGRTATTGGAAATTGAACTCGGGGACACTCAACCACTGGACCACATCGCTAGCCCTATTTTGCATTTTATTTAGAGATGGTCTCGCTGAGTTGCTTAGCGCCTTGCTGTGGCTGAGGCTGACTTTGAACTCCGGATCTTCTAGTCTCAGCCTCCTGAGCCCCTGGGATTACAGGCGTGCGCCAATGCGCTGGCTCTAGGACTTGATCTTGACGCGGTCCATGGTTCTCCCCGCCTTTATCTAGTGTCTGGGCATCAATCAAGTCCCATTGATTTCACTCCTTAACTTTTACTTTTCTAAGATGCTGTGTGCTTGAGGGGCTGTAAAATTTTCATTTTCCCTCACCAAGTCAACCCCCCCCCCAAATTTTTAGTGGTTTTGTGATTTTAATCGAGGTAATTTGGTCCATATTTTTTTCCAAGAGTAAAGGGGAAATCCTAGCATGAAGTGGGACCACTGGCTATCAATTGGTAGGTGGAGCGAGTTGGTAGGGCAAGGCGGTCCTCTCTGTGCGTTAGAATTGGGATGCAAACTCCTGACCTTGGCTAGACCACCGACTGTGCTGGGTCACTTGGCTACGTAGGAGGTGGCTTGCGCACTGCTAACCAGCGGAAGCAGGCGGGATTTGGGCGGAGTTGCGAGCGCTCTGGACTTTGTGCCCGGGCGGAGTGCTCCAGCCACCAGCTACAAAGACGTTACGCGCGGAAATCAGATCGGGGCTAGACTGGTGAGTAAGGCAGCGAAGAGTGGCGCTCCTTGCGGTGGAATCTGATGGAGGGTATTTGTCCGGTATTCCTCCATCCTTCACCTCGGCAATGTGAGGCCCTAATCTTGGGGAAACTTCCAACTTGTGGAATCCCAGACTTAGCCAGATGTGTGTGGCTTGGTGCAGTGTCCACTCCCGCCACCTTGGGGGCTTGCGCCAAGGAAAGGGTCCTGGCACGTTTTGAGTTGTGATGCCAGAAAAGAGGGTTTCAGGACAGACGGGCATCGGGCAGTGCCGTCCAAGTCAGTGAGTCTATTTCAGAGCACCGAAGCTGGTTCGGTGAGTGTTAGCCCCAGCTGTGCGCCGCAGTGGTGAGCAGAACAGCCTGGCTCCCACCGGAGCGCTATGAAACGCTGTGATCTGACCGGCCTGGGAGGCACAGTGACTGGACAGTATCCTTGGAAGGCCTGAGCAGCGACCCAAAGGCCATATTAGAGGGACGAGTGTTGGGCGGTTCGCTGAAGGGCAGAATATTCACGTGGCTGAATACTCGGGTTTGGGACCTCGAGGGCACATCCCACAAAGCCTTGAGGGTGTGTTGGGAATTTAAGGGGCATTTTGAGAATTTCCTGTGGGAAATTATGATAGGGTTTTGGTTTGGAGAAAGACTGATTTGGTTCAGGACTGGAAAATGGCGACACATTCCAACAGGAATTGCTTTCTGGAAGGGTGGGGACTGGCCGGTACGTGTAAGCCTGCTGTGACTTCCGGCCCCTTAATAGCCAAAAGTCTGGTGAGTCATATCTAGCTTCCTTCCACTCCAGACCCCTGTTGAGTTCCGGGGTCCTGTGGACAAAGAAAGTACTCTTGTAGGCCGCCAGAGAGACARCCCTGACAGAAGATAGAATCCTGATCAAGGACCTCTTCCTGCCACTCTCAGCAAAAGCCATCTTAAGTRCTGATGACAGCAGAGTTCTTCCATGCTGGCGAGGGGAAAGGCAAGTCTTTAAGGACATTATCATTGAGGCCATTTAAAGTGCAATTGGCTGGAAAATAGATCTCTTTACTTCATAAAAATGGCCATGAAAAGTCTTGTTATGTCCCCTGATACTGGGACTTGAACCCAGGGACACTCTACCACTGAGCTACATCCCAGCGCTTTTTGTTTTTTGAGACAAGGTCTTGCTAGTCTGGCCTTGAACTTGGAATCCTCCTGCCTCAGCTTTCTAAATCGCTGGGATTTCTGGCCTGCATTACCACACACAGCTGATCATAAATTGCTGAGGTCCAGGTCCAGCCCGGGGAGGTGGGGGGGCTACTGAGGGTCCAGGGTGGTCCCAAAGGAGGAGTGGCGTGGGCAAAAGAAGAAGAGTCAGGACGACAGGTTGCAAGTTATGAGCAACCTCCAGAAGACATCTCTCTACCCCTGGAGGGACYTTTATTTTTATACCTTTTTTACAGGTGTGTTTTTCAGGTAGTTGATGGATAGCTTTAAAGCCCGAAACTTTTTTGATTTGCATAATTTTCAGGAGTTACAATCTTTTCTGACATACATTGATTACCTAAGATATTGAGTACATTGTTCATTATTTTTCTGTAACCTTAGACAATCATGATTAAGCTTTTACGTTTTCACGTCAATCACTAGGTGCTAGGTGACAGCAACTAGACTACATGACTCCTGACCTATTATTCACTTCTAACTTTCAAGCATACCTATAATTATTTCATTAACCTTTAACTTTAAAGCATACTTATGATTATTGGTAAGCTTTCTTCTAAACTAAAATATATCTATGTTAATTTTATATTATTCTATTTTTAATTTCTAAGATAATTTCCTTTTTTCTTATGACCTATTCAACTGCTTTCTTAAAGAACTTCCTTGATCCTTGGTCAAAGCACACCAATTCTTATGTCTTTGTAATCTTTAAAGGGCAGGCTTTACACCTCAACTCCTATGTCATTTATATTAACTAACTGTGTATTTTCCATTTTCATCATAAGTTTCTGTGTAAAGCAAAGGAGGGTCTATTGGTTGGGGAATGTATTTTTATTAGCCTCTTGTCCTCGAGGGGATACCATAAGCTACATACTGTGGTCCTTGTACTGTTGGCACAGCAATTGTTTTTCTGTAGCAAGGCTGTTGTACAGGATGTGGCTTCAGGATGGGGTTGGGGGGGGCGGGCTAGTGTGTAAATGATTAACCATGGGATAAATATTTCTTGTTGTTCAGGCTTGAGGAATAACACTATTGTTTGTATCTTGAGAGACATTGAAATATACCTCATAGCATATCTCAATTGTATCCTTAGTCTCATTCTGGGAATTTTCCTGGGATCTCAGGCAATATGCCCTGTTAACAATCCATATCATGAATATTATAAACAAAACACTTAACATTCCTAATGGTTCTGATGTGGTGCGCTGGTGCGGTGGTATGCTGGTACCGTGGTGCGGTGCTGTACTGCCTTGTAGGTTGTTCCTGCCTTGCAGACCTGCAGCAGCATCCCCCATGCTGTGACCCTGTCAGACAGAGAGTGCAGGAATGCCTTCACCAATAAATAGTCCTTTTTTTTTTTCCCCCTCATGAATAGCCTTGAAAGGAAAAGGGAGAGAGGAGAGAGGAAAGAAGAAGAAAATAACTTCAGATCCTAGGACTGCAGTTATCATCACATCTTTGGCGGTACCCAATTCACTTTTACTCAAATGTCATTTTCCTTGCTGGCATTTATTACTTTCATTACTCTTCCAAAAAAATGAAAGGAGGAAAAAAAGTCAACAGTTTAATATACTTTTCTTAGCATCTGAAGGGAGGGAAGATGTGGGTGAGTGGTTGTTAGCAGGAACTGGTGTTCTAGCATGTTTGCATCAGAGCAAGAACTCTTCGAAGTGAGCAGGGAGCCACAGTGCTTGGCACATTGTGACCCCTGAATAAGTGAGAGCTGTTGTGTTGTTGTCAGTATTATTCTTTACAAGCATTGTGCTGTTTAGATGCTCTCTGGCTCACAATGACATGATTGTTTAACTAATGTATTTTGACTTTGCAGTGTTAGGAAAGCCTTACCCATTCAGTTGAGATTGTACTTTGGATTTTGAATTTGGATCTTTTTCCCAGGCTAGTGATATACATATAATACTCTGATATTCTCATCTCTCTCTCTCTCTCTCTCTCTCTCTCTTTTGGTACCAGGGATTGAACCCAGGGGGGACTCAACTACTGAGCCACATGCCCGAACCTTTTTTTATATTTTACTTAGAGATAGGGTCTTGCTTGCTAAGTTACTTAGGGCCTCACTAAGCTGTTAATGCTGGCTTTGAACTTTTGATCCTCCTGCTTTAGCCTCCAGAGCCATGGGATTACAGACATGCACCACTGTGCCCTGCCTCTGATATTGTCCTGAAGCTGTGTAGTGCCATTGAGCTTCAGCTTCTTGTTAGGCATATGATAAGGAGAGGAAACAACTGATACTCTGCAGTGTGCTTTGTTGCTAAGCCAAGATGTTCTGTAGGTTAGGTGCATTAAATGCATTTCTGATTTAAGACTTATCACAGGCTGTGGATGTAGCTTAGTGTTTGCTTAACATATGCAAAACCCTGGGCCTGAGACCCAACATCAGGAGAAGGAGAAGAAGAAAATCTAGGTCAAAGAATCATTAAAAAAAAAAAAAAAATATATATATATATATATATATATATATGTGTGTGTGTGTGTGTGTGTGTGTGTGTGTATTTATCTCTGGAAGAGATCTTAGAGAATGTCTTCTTTATTTTCACATTTCCAATGAAACCAAGTCAGAGAAAATGAAGAGACTCATTCAAGGTGGTTTGTGACAGATTCAGAAGATTCAGATCTGGATGCCCTAGATATATGCTTTTCAGTGGTTCTGAGTAGGGTTTCAACAATTAACTTTCCCATGGATCAAGAGTGTCTTCTCCAAGTTACTCAGCATCTCTATATTTGCATACTTTAAGATGGTGCCAATAATTGTTACCTCAATGGGCATTGCTAAGAGGTTTCAGTGATACAGAGTAGAGGGTTAATAACTCTTGGTGTTCACTGACCAAATAAGGAGTTGTTTCTTACTCTCCTTCTTCCTCATATGTTTTGTTTCTCTCTGACCTCAGGTTCCTAGAGGTAGGCACCAGCCAATTCCATAAAGCAGGCTGAAACAGAAGTTAGACACCTGCCTTCAGCCTGGCATTACTGGACAATGGCAGCTGAGCGAAGGATGACCAGGTCCCTGAATTCTGCAGCCCAGACTTTGAGGGAACCAAAGGTGTTCCCAATGGTAAAAGAGGAGACTTTGGACGGCACAACAAAGAAAGAAGACAGTCCCTTGAAGCAGAAGTGCTTGTCACTGGAAGCCATATCAAACCCTCCAGACTTTGCAGGGCCTCTCCATCTGCCCAGTTTTGGGGAGGTAGAGAGCTCTAAGAAGGAGTACAGTCTTCCTTGGGGGCTAGGTCAGGAGTGGATAAAGCTAGAAAGAAACACCACAGAAGAGAAGGTACGGCACCCTTAGGTGGGTGAGGTGGCAACATCCCTTCAGGAAGCCAAGAAGAAAGATTGTGGTTGAAAGTAAAGAGAACTAGCTAGAAAGGGGGAGGGACCAGGTCCTAGTCTCCAGGAGCTCTTTCATCTATTCTCCTGCCTGTGGGTCTTTGCTTTTCTTTCCTATTCATATTCTGCATATCCCACTCCCTTTCCCACCACATCTTCTTTTCATTTTTCTGCATCTTTCCTTTCCTTTCTGTAGGTCACAGTTGCTGGCTTAGTACCTGTCTTTTTAAAATTTCTCTCTTCCTTCCATGGTTTTATTTTTCTCTTAGGTTTTAGTTCTCTGAATCTTTTTTGGGGTAGGGGAGGGGGTATCAGGGATTGAACTCAGGGGTATTCAACCACTGAGCCCCATCCCCAGCCCTATTTTGTATTTTATTTAGAGACAGGGTCTCAYTGAGTTGCTTAGTGCCTCACCATTGCTGAGGCTGGCTTTGAACTTGTGATTCTCCTGTCTTGGCCTCCTGAGCCACTGGGATTATAGGCGTGCACCACTGTGCCTGGCTCAGTTCTCTGAATCTTGAGTGTCATGTATATACACACTCTGAATCTGTTCTACTTTTCCAGATGCCTGTCACCTTTGAGGATGTGGCAGTGAATTTCACCTGGGAAGAGTGGGAATGTCTAGATGCCAGTCAGAGAGCTCTTTACCAGGTTGTTATGTCAGAAACCTGCAAAAACCTGGAGTCTGTGGGTAAGAGGTGGGGTCCTGAGTCATTACCTGGGCACAGTTAGCTTCACTGAACTAGTTCTGTGCCTTCCAGATGTGGAAAATATGGGTCACTAAGCTCGGGGGTAAAAGGAGAAAAAATGAAAATCTGCATAAAGGCAGACATAACACTTGTAACAAGATGACAGAGTTCTCAGAATATGCAAATTTGTCTATTCGTCCAACCTATATTTATTATGTCACTCATGTGCCAGGCACTTAGAATCTGGCCTTTTGCAATGTGTTTCTGCATCTAAGTGTACAGATTAAATTTGTTTTTTAAGGACTTAAATCAGTAATTGTTTATTTGACTCACAGATCTATAGTCTGGGCAGGGCTCAACAAGGAAATCTTGTTTTGGTTTAATATGGTGATGGCTGGAGTGGCTCTTGGGGCTAGAGGATCCATTTTGATGATGGATTATTCATGTGGCTGATAAATTCACAGTAGCTTTTGACTGGAAGCTTGGACAGGAACCCRAGTTCCTCTTCCTATAGAATTTTCCATAGGGCTGCTTGAGCTCCCTTCTAGCATGGAAGCTGGGTTGCAAGAGGGGTTTTTTTTTGTTGTTGTTGTTTTGTTGTTCTGGGGATTTAATTCACGGGTGCTTTACCACTTAGTCACACCTCCAGCCCGTTTTATTTTTTATTTCGAGACAGGGTCTTGCAAAGTTACTGACTAAATTGCCTCACTAAATTGCTAAGGTTAGCTTTGAACTTGCAATCCTCCTGCCTCAGACTGCTGAGTCTCTGGAATCAGGTGTGAGCCATGATTCCTGGATGAGAGGATGTTTCAAAGGACAGGATGTGGTAGCTACTGATCTACTAAGGCCTGAGCTTGCAAGTTGGCACATCATAAGTTCTGTCACATTCTGTTCATCAAGTACAGAGCCCTCCAGATTAAGGTTCTTAAAACAAGCATATAAAAAGTAACCTGTTGACCTCAACAGATGTGAAGGGTCCGAGCCTGGTCCTAGCTTTACTCTTTCTTTCATTCCCACTTACCAGGAGGAATATTTCTGCCTAAATCAGATGTGGTCACCAAGCTTGAGCAAGAAGAGAGACAGAAGAAAGCATATCTCCATCAGCCAAAGAGAGAAGGCCTCCCTTCAGGTAAGAGTTGCAAAGGAGACAAAATCAAAAGGGCCCAGGGCAATCCTTGGAAGGGTGGAGAGCTCACTGAGAGAATCAAGGTTCTCTGTGTTCTCTCCTATCATCCATTTTTCCAGCCTGGTTAGACTTGGAGCTAAAAGAGACCTGGAGATGAAAGGCTGAATCCTTGACTTGGTGATGAATGTCTAAGCCTTTCCGGACAAATAATGTCTTATCTGAGTAGCTTTGTCAGCTAATACCCCTTTGATGAAAATTTTTTTCCAAAAGAAAAGAGAAGCAGGAGAGAAAAGTTGAGGGTGGATTGGAGAAGGGAAGACTTATTCCTGGGAGTAGAATAAGGAGTAAGAAGATATCAAGCCAGACTGATTACATCTCCCAATTTGCTAGAACTGTCCTMGTTTATACTTCTCATGCCAACTTGATAGATTTTTTTTTTTTTTTTCCTTTTGGCAGTACTGGGGATTGAACTCTGGGCTCCTTGCATGCTAGGCAAACCTCCACTACTGAGCTATGTCCCTATCCCTTTTTATTCCTATGACACTTAATTAATTGATTGATTAATTAAGGAGCACTAGGGACTGAACCCAGGGGGCTCTCTACCACTGATCTACAACTCCAGTCCTTTTTGTTTTTTATTTGGGTCTCCCTAAGTTGCTGAAGCTGGCCTCTAACTTGCCATTCTTCTGCCTCAGCTTCCAAAGTAACTGAGATTACAGGCCTACACAACCATGCCTGGTTTCCAGTTTAATTAGTAATAACATATCTTTATTCTCAAATGTTCCAATTTGCATGATATAGTAGTCCTCCTTGGACTGGGGATAGAGTGCTCCCTTATCCACAGGGAAGTCTTCCAAAACCCCCTGTGGATACCAGGCACAGTGGAATTAGCCCGTAATCCCACCTACTTAGGAGGTTAAGACAGAAGGATTGCAAGTTTGAGCCCAGCCTAGGCAATTTAGCAAGACTCTGTCTCCAGATAAAAAAAATAAAAAGGGCTTGGAGATGTGGCTCAGTGGCAGAGCATCTCTGGGTTCAATTTTCAGTAATGGTACCAGGGACACTTTACTGCTGAGCTACATTCCCAGTCCTTGCCCAGCTAAATTTAATTTATAAATTAGGAACAGTAAGGCATTAAACAATAATAATAAAATAGAACACTTATAAAAAAAAAAGTTCTGTGAATATGGTCTTTTTTCTCTCTCAAATTCTGGAATTTTCCATGTAATATTTTTGGACTGTGGTTGGTTGTGGATAACTGAAACCATGAAATTTGAAGTCACAAATATGGTAGATTACTATACATTGTGTGGTCATTTGTGGATATCTGTGGAGTGAGTGTCTGTGGGAGTGTGGACAATATTGGAATGGGAAAATRAATTTCAAGAAATGTGGCCATAAGTTAAAATATAGATCTCTGACATTGTTGGAAGATTCCAGTTAAATTTTATTTGCTTATAATTTTTTTTTTTATAGTTGTGGATGGACAGCATGCCTTTATTTGTTTAGTTTTTTAGGCAGTGCTAAGGATTGAATTCAGTGCTTCACACATGCTAGGCAAGCGCTCTGCCACTGAGCCTCAGCCACAGCCCTATTTGCTTATAATTTGAAAAGCCTAAAGTTATTCTTGTCTCCATCCTATGAAGTTTAAGGGTGAGGGTAAATGTGCAGGTGGGAAAGTGATGGCAGAAGGGGAAGTGGCTCACACTGGAGGGAGAGGTTGTACTGGCCTTCGCCTTGTGAATCTTGTGTCATTGATACTTCCTCATTTGCTACAGGAGACAAGAAAGAAGAACTTCAAGAGCCAGGTCAGAATCTGAAAAATGAGGGGACTAGTGATGACAAGAAAGTCTCCCTTATTCACAGAGGGACAAGCCAGAGATCACCTTCTGGCAGGAACTCAGTGTTCCGAAAATCCCAACCTGGGCCACCCTTTCTCTGCAACACCTGTGGCAGGTGTTTCAGAAAGAGCTCCCACCTCCACAGCCATCTCTCCAGTCATCAGTTTGTTCACAACCCTAAGCAGACTAACATCTGTAACCGGTGTGGAAAGTTGTTCTGGAGCCGCAAGGCCCTCAGCCACCACAGGCGCAGACATCATGGAGAGAGGCCCTTCCGTTGCTTACTCTGTGATAAGACCTACTGTGACGCTTCTGGACTGAGTCGGCACCGCCGTGTTCATTTGAATTACCGGCCCCATTCGTGCCCTGTGTGTGGGAAGTGCTTCCGGGACAGATCTGAGCTCAAACGCCATCAGAAGATACACAGAAACCAGGAGCCAGTGGCTGGAAACCAGAAGCATATTGTGAGGATTCCAGGCACCACAGCTGGATTGCGGGAGCCCGTTGCCACAAGACAGAAGTCCATCCAGGGACTTGTGAACCAGGCACCAGTGGCTAGGATCCAGGAACCCAGATTTAAAACTAAGAATTCTGTGACCAGGACACAAGCACCAGACAGTAGATCCTCCTACCGGAATACCAGATCCAACTCTATTACAGTGCAACCCTCAGGATTCAAGGTCTTCTCTTGCCCACATTGTCCCTTGACTTTTACCAACAAAGCCTCTCTCTCCAGTCACCAGAAGGTTCACCTCACAGAGCAGCCTACCTGCTGCTTCTATTGTGGCAAGTCCTTCAGCTCATCCTTCTGGCTCTCCAAGCACCAGCAGACTCACTGGAAACAAAAGATCTACCGATGCCCCATCTGTGACCTCTGCTTTGGGGAGAAAGAGGACCTTCTGAATCACTGGAGGAGCTATAAAGGCAAGGAACAGTACCTAGGCAGTCCCCATATATGCTGGGTAATTCTGGGCCAGAGCCTTGGCTGCTTTCATGATTCCCCGCGACTGGGAAGGATTAGCGACATGGAGGAAATAGATCTTCAGGAATCCATATCCCCAGGAGAGATGCAATATGGGAGAAGGCATGCAAAGGAGACAAGGCGAAGGAGGCAGTGAGGATCTCAAAACATAAATAAATGACCTTTGCAACAGAGGTCTTTGTGTTTGGTTTTCCTGAGGACTGACCTCCGGGGTCAGGAGGCTTGAGTAGAGGGAGAGAGGTGAATGGATGATGAATAAAATAAACAAAGAAAAGGGAAAGGACGTGTGCATATAGAAACTCATTAATTAGCACCTAACTTGTTTCTTTGTGTCTTCTAGATCATCAAGTAGTATTTGTTGAATAAAACAATGTCTACTGTGATAGGTATGAAGATGGGAGAAAGGGATTAGAGGAGAGAAAGTGTGAGGGATGCAGAGAAGTTGTGGAAGTAGAAGGGAAACCATTCTAAAGTGGATGTGCTGCTCAGTTCCCATTCATTGCTTCCTGTGGCCCTCCATAGGCTGCATAGACGAGATGGAGCTCTGGCCAGTATTCTATGTTCTCTCCCCACTTCCAGGTCTTGGTTAGGGCTCCCTACATCCTCACTCTGCAGCTCATTCAGCTCCCTCTTTGATATTTTGGACTCTTCCTATTCCTTCCCTTCTACCCTCTCAGCTCTGCTCAATAAGGACTCAGTCTTGGAAGAAACAACCACCATTTGCAAATTGGATGTTCTGTAATTGGCAGTGAGGAGGATCTTGGTCTTGTTTGTGGGAGAACTCCTCCTGTCTGTGTTACTCTCCAGCACAGRTGTCCTCTGATGAAGAAAAGAGACCCACCTGGCTTTAGCCAGAGAGGGCTTCCTAGTGAAAGATGGAGAGGAGGAGAAACATGGGAAGCAAAAAAATGGCAAAGGAAGGAAGGAGCTGAGGAAAGGAAGAAAAAAGGTAGATGACAGAAGGGAAATCAGTTCTATTTTGAATTCAGAAKGTTCCTAGAAGTGGCCAGTGAGTGTGCAACTTGATGGATGAGACATCCCCAAGGATCAGTCTCTGGACCCACCAGGCTCGCCTCCAACCTCGTCAAAATGCCACAGCACTCAGAAGGGATTTCCTAGAAGAAGGAGAAAATAACTTGAAAAATCAATGTCAGAAGTTTCTATCATGAAACCCCTGAATCTGGGAAATGAAAAGACCCCTGAGGTCATCTTATTTCTGTGGCTGCCTTGGTAGTTGGTCTCRGAGGTGAAGCACTGGGCAGCTGCTGTTGAGAATGGGAGGGGAGATTCCTACTGGAGGGCACTGCGGGTAGAGCAGATGAGACAGTAGATGGCAGCAGCCCAGCTTCCCTCTCTGCCACCTGTAAACTTGAATCTGACAACTGCCTTCTTCCCTCTCCCTCACAGGGTGAGTCCTCCTMCACCATGCTTTCCAGCCCCTCCTGTCCTGGGATTGGGCGTCTTCAGTAACCCCTTCTTTGTAGCTTCAGTTTCCCTTTCCTGGCTTTTTGTTCTCAGTTTATAAGAAAGAGAAGAGAACTTACTTAGTTCCTCAAGAAACTGCCCTGCAAACAAGAGAAATAAATAGRTGATCAATGGAAGATGGCTACCCGCTCTCACATCCTCCCTGTGGACACTCAAAATGACCCTTCCCTTTCCATTGAGGGGCCCCACAGATTTCGTAAGCAAATCTCCTAGCAACTCCTCTGAGGAGCCTGGCGATGGGCATGAGGACAGAAGAGGAATTCCAGGGTTCTGGTTGCACTGTTTCCCAGTCAGGGCTGCCTGGGTCCCCCGCTGCTTAGTGGTTCTATTTACTGTCTCCTCCCCACTACCTCACCTGCCAGTCTTCGATGCAACCAGTTGTAGCAGATGATCAAGGCAACCAGGGGTCCAAAAACTGGTACAATTACAAACAGGGTTATCTTCCAGCAGGGCACCCTCAGAAAGTGGCGATCTGAATTGTTCATCAAACAAACAGGGTTAATATGTATTTCCGCTCACGCACCTACTCTTCTCCTTTTGAGGCTTCTGGTCCAAGAACACCAAAGGACTCAGGACAGAGTCCAGGGAGTCCATGAACTTGGATGAGAAGCACCACGTCTTTATTCACATCACAGTGTCAGCAGTACCTGTACTTTCATTGCCAACAGAAATCACAGATGTTTTCCATCCCATTGGAGTTGTTACAAAAATCTCCAGGTGCTGTTTATGTTGAGAGTTGCCGCTCCTGTATTTATGTGTTACTTTTATTATTTAAAGGAATGTTTGTTAATATATATCAGTTTGTTTATGTGTTGGTAGCTGTATTCCAACACAGATTTTCTTTGTAATCCTATGTGTTATGTGTACATTTAAAAACTTTCTGGGGATGGGAATGTGACTTGGTGGTAGAGCATTTGTTTTAGCAAGTGCAAGGCCCTGGGTTTAATTCCCAACAAAAAAAAAAAAAAAAAAGAAGAAGAAGAAGGGATCCTTTCATGGTACAAAAAGAGTTCAGACCTTTGATATTAAAATCCTACAAAATAAAGATCCTCTTGCTCTTACATGTGTATGAGGCAGCAGGAAAGGCTACTCAGCATAGGGAATGCCTGTGCTCTGCCTAATGCCATCTTCCTAAATTTCTATGAAAGTCATTCATTTCAGCACAAATATTTGGCTGCTCTTCTGTTGGCATTGTCCTTAGGCACAGAGCAATCTGTAGTAAATGAAAAAGACAGAGACCATATCCTCAAGGGATCAACTTTCTCTTGGGGCTTGTGGCATTACTGCTCCAAAAAACTTTCCCTGATTAGTTGAGTATGGTTACTTGGTCTRCACTTATGAAAATTCACTCTGCCATGTAAGTACAGTAGATATGTGTGTTTTGTTTTGTTTTGTTCTGTTATTTCAAGTATGTTTCTCCTCTCCAACTATACACAGTTTGTGTTTACCTTCCTTTTGTAATTCCTAAAAGAAAAATGTGTAAGGATTTAACACTTTACATTTGTAAAGGAATAGAAAAGACAGTAGAATTAATTGGACATAACTTTCCTAGCCCTGTATTTGTATACACGACACATCATGTATGAGTACAAGAGTGGGAATATAAACAGAATACGTTATATTTTATGTATGTATATTCTGCCAAAATACATTCTACTGTCATGTATAACTAAATATTAAAAAAAATTTTAAATTTTGTAAAGCTGTTGGTATAGTACCTGGCACATGGTATAATAGTATTTGCTATTTTAACCAATCCTAGATGCAAATGATGACATATTTAAAGATAGAAAAAAGAAGGAGAATAACCATCAGAAACCAAAGGTTCTTTTTCCTCCAGGTGACTGGAACCTGGTTGAAAAACCAAGTTGACCCTGGAGGGCCGTGATACATCTGACTTACCGTGATATACCTGTACTTACCGAAGGTCCGGTGAAGATTCTCTGAAAGAAGAACAAATAACAATGGATTTAATAGGGCAATCTAGGAGGATCCTTTCTTCTCTCCGAGTCTTTGTTTTCTTCTCTTGAGTCTTTGTTATTTAATCACTTAAAATTTGTTCTAGTCCTGACCCAGGAGAGGAAGGGAAGCTGTAGGATTTTACTTCTGCTCTGGCTAAAGGCACGGAGAGGAAGACCCTCTACAATTCGTGGCTGGTTATTGTTTTATAAATAGTGAATTTCCCAATTGAAGAGGGAGGGTAGCTGGAACTTACCTATTTCTGCTCGGAGTTTTCCTAAAACAGAAAAAGGCAACATTTTTAGTTCCTGCTCTGGCACTAGATAGGAGTCTGTCCATACCCAGTGCCGTAGCCCTTTGCACAGGCTATTTCTCTACAGCCTAAGAGTGTCTTCAGGAGAGCAGGAAAAGGTCTAGATTTGAAACCAAGGGTTTGGCTCTGTCCCTGGTTATTGTCTGGATTGAATAGTGAAACAATGCAAAAGACTTCTCTAGTCCAGAACTTCAGTAAATAGGATGTGAGGGGCAAACATCTGTSAACCCATTGATTGCCAATGTTGATTCAGCTGATCTAGCTGGCTAGGCAGGTGTCCCTTTCCTCCAGAAGCTGTACCCTCAGTTGAAGAGGAGAACCCCGATGTTCTTCGGTCAAGGGTACATGAGTATATATGTTCCCCACTAGAACTTACAAAGAAGCTCTCAAAAACCTCAGTRAAGCCAGGCACAGTGGTGTATGCCTTTTTTTTAAATATTTATTTTTAGTTATAGGTGGGCACGATATCYTTATTTTATTATTATGTGGTGCTGAGGATCAAACCCAGTGCCTCACGCATGCTAGGCGAGYGCTCTACCACTGAGCCATGGCCCCAGCCCTAGTGTATGCCTTTAATACCAATGGCTCAGAAGGCTGAGGCAGGCGAATTACAAGTTTGAGGCCAGCCTTAGCTAGACTCCATCTCAAAAACATGGGAGCCTGGGAGTGTAAGCTCTGTGGTAAAGTGCTCCTGGGTTCAACACTTCCCACAGCCAGGCAAAAAAAGAACCTCTGTAAACAGCAAGGCCCCAAAWCATCCTAGGACTTTATTACCTCTCCCACTGCTCTTTGTTCCTTTTCTGGTAGTTCTTAGTTCACCTTGTCACTCTACCCCACTGGGTTGTCATTTTGTAAATCTAAACCCACTTTCCATCTGAATGAGGAAGGGAGGAGCTAGATCTTTAGTGAGCAGCTACCTTGTGACTGGTTCTTTATTGGGCACTTTACATAACATTATCTCCTTTAATCTTCCCTACAATTTAGGAGGGAGAAAGGTTACTTGACAAATGAGGAAATGGGCTTGGAGAACTGAAGAATTTTGGTCATAGTTCAGTGCCTAAGACAGAATTCAGTCCCAAGTTGCCCAACTTCATCATTCTCATTCTTCCAAATCACTAAGATCCATTAAGGCGGTTTTGTTGTTGTTGTTTGTTTGTTTGTTTGTTTTGTTTTCAGGTGGGAGAAGTGAGCATCTGAGATAAATTCAAGATGACAGAAAAGACCCCACAAGATCCCACTAATATCTGTTCTCCCTTGTATACCCAAACCCTCCTAGTTACTTTATCCTCTTAGTAGCAGGAGAAAGTGATAGGTCARAGTCCTTGTACTTTGGCAGTGGGGAGAAGGCTCAGAATAGAAGTGGTGGCACAAAAGAAGAACCTCATTGAGCCGGGTGTGGTGGCACACCCCTATAATCCCAGTGGCTTTGGTGGCTGAGACAGGAGAATAGCGAGTTCAAAGCCAGCCTCGGCAACAGCGGCAACAGCGAGGCGCTAAGCATCTCAATGAGACCCTTTCTCTAAAGAAAATACAAAATACAGCTGGTCGAGTGCCCCTGAGTTCAATCCCTGGTATGCCTCCCCGCCAAAAAAAAAAAGAGCCTCATTGACAGCTGAACCCAAGGCCTTGGGGTTGAATGGAAAAGATGGAGGGAAACTAGTTTTGAACACATGCTATTGTGCTAGGGACTTTCATTTTCATTAAAACTCCTAATAGCTTAGACTTGCCTGACTTTGAAGCTCACTCTCCCTGATGCATGAAGCTACTGGATATGGTACAGAAGTTTGAGCTCTGCCACTTACAACTTGTGTCAATTTGAGCAAGTCACTGAACTTCTCTTGGCTTCAGTTGCCTCCTTTGTATATGAGGCCATTACATGTCAGATTCACCTCCTAGGGAAATGGAAGCTCTTATTATACCATGTGAAAGCATTCGGTGGTTAGATGTAAGATTTATCATTGTGTAATTCTGATCTTGAAAGTCTCTCAAAAGGAAATGTTAACTGACCCAACTCTAAGAGGTTAGCTACTGACAGGGAAGGATATTGATGGGCCCAACCTCTGTCCTGTACCTCTCAATCTGTGTTGCAGGCAGAGAAAGACGAGGCCCACGGTGATCTGCAGAAGGAGCACAGGCAGCACAGCAATGAGGACCAGCACTCCAGGGTTGATCCAGTAGAAGGGATCTGAAAGGAACAATTGATACCACCCAGGCTGTATCCTCAATTCCCAGCACAGCATCCATTAGCTGTTTTGGATAAAGAAACGAATATCACCAAGATTCAAAGAAGGTGACACAGAATTGACACCTGAGCTTAGCTTTGAAAAAGAAATGGAATAAGACATAGAACAAGACTTTTGTCTATTATTGTATTCTCCATTTTTAAAAATGCAGCACATACTTTACTTTTAAGTTTTTATTTTTTTCTTTCTTTCTTTCTTTTTTTTTTTGGTAATGGGGATTGAATTCAGGGGCACTCGGCCACTAAGCCACATCTCCAGCCGTATTTTGTATTTTCTTTAGAGGCAGGGTCTCACTGAGTTGCTTAGCACCTCGCCCGCCCGCTGCCCACCTTTGCTGAGGCTGTCTTTGAACTTCCAATTCTCCTTTCTCAGCCTCCTGAGCTGCTAGGATAACAGATGTGTGCCATCGCGTCCAGCTACTTTTAAGTTCTTTTTTTTTTTTTTTTAATATTTATTTACTTATTTAGTTAGTTAGTTTTTAGCGGACACAACATCTTTGTTTGTATGTGGTGCTGAGGATCGAACCCAGGCTGCACACATGCCAGGCGAGCGCGCTACCGCTTGAGCCACATCCCCAGCCCCTTAAGTTCTTATTGAAAGTTACCTGTAGCTATATAATTAAGCAGGTTCAACCATCCCTTGGAATTCACAGGGGAATTGTTCCAGAAGCCCCTTGGAGGTCAAAGTCTACATATGTTCAAACCCCTTATATAACATGGCATGGTATTTGCATATAACTAACCTATGTAGATTTTCCCAAATACTTTATTTATTTGGCCATGCTGGGGGTTAAACCTAGGGCTTTAAGCATGCTAGTTAAGTGCTGTACTACTAAGATACACCCCTAGCCCCTTCCCATATACTTTATTTATTTTGTATTTGTGCATTACCATATACTTTAAGTCATCTCTAGATTATTTATAATACTTAATGCAATGTAAATACTATGTAAATAGTTCTACTGTATTGTTTAGGGAATAATTACAAGAAGAATTCTACATGTTCAATACAGACATCATCACCATTATGATGATGATGATGATGATGATGATGATGATGATGATGGTATGTGGATTGAACCCAGGGGGAGATCCACTAATGAGCCACATCCTCAACTTTTTTTCTTTCTTTTTTTGTAGTGCTGAAACTCAGGGTCTAGCCCTTTCTATTTGTATTTTAGACAGAGTTTCACCAAGTTGCCAAGGCTGGCTTTGAACTTGCAATTCTCCTTCCTCAGCCTTCTGAGTTGCACACACAAGTGTGTGCCACTATGTCTGGCTTTTTTTCTGAATAATTTTGATTCTAGGTAATTCAATCCACTGAAKTGAAATTCATGGGTATGGAAGGCTAACTGTGCACACTTTTCTTTCTTTCTTTCTTTTTTGCATACTTCTTATACTTTCACAAAAGATTAGAATCATAGAAAGAGATAAAAGCAGACATTATCAGCCTCTATGAAATATGCCAAAATAAATCAAACCTGAGTCTGATCTTGCATAGATTTCTCAGTTCACCTGAAATAAAGGGCATGTTAATCAGAAATGTGGGAATGTAGTCAGCAAAATTCAGACTATGGGAAACCCTATAGGCAAATACAAATGTGGAAAGTCTGTTTGGATCTTATTCAAACAAACCAACTGTAAGAATACATTTATGAAAGGAAACCTTGAACACCTTGAACAATAGAACACTATTTGATGATACTAAGAAATTTTTGTTGATTTTTAAAGACATGATCATAGAATTGTGGTTGTTTTCTTTTTTTAAAAAGTGCTYTTATATTTGAGTGATACATTCTCAAGCACTTAGCMATGAAATGATAATGCTGCTTGGGATTTGCTTCAGCAAGTTGCTAGGGAGTGGCAATGAACAGGAATCAGGTAAATCTAGTTGTAGTTGGTTTGATAACTGCTGAGCAGAGTTCTTGGAGGTCCATTATGATATTCTCTATACTTTTGTAAGTGTTTTTAAGTTTTCATATTGAGTTTAAAGAAATGATTAGAGACTGTAAAATGACATCAAAAAAGTCAAAAAGAGAGATGGGAAACTTTTTGGAGAAGGAGTTTTCTATATTTAAAAAACATGGTTACTGCATTCATTCCTATATTTGTTTCACTTCCGGGCTCCTCAGAGTAGTCAAGTGGATTTAGCTGTAAAACAATCCTGTTTTCAGATTCTTAGGTATGCAGACCAAGAGATGGGGGAGGGGTTTGGAATGCGGAAACCAGCTCAAAGGAAAACTTTCTCCCCTGAGGCAAAGCTTTAGGGTATTTTTCTCTTAATTCTTTTTTCCCCTTTCTCTTTTGGTGAGGTGGGCCTCAGGGAGTGAGTTGGGGAGGCAGTTCCTAGGCAGAAGTAGTAAGCTGTTGAACAGGAAGGATGAAAATCTATAACCACAGAAATCCTTCCTATTTGACATCTTTGTGGGTAAAAATTCCCCAGTAAAAACAGCTGTCTGAAGAACATTCTGTGACACACAGAGCTATTTTCATGTCCCTGCAGTTCATTTCTAGAAATAGTGCATTGTTATTCAGCACACAATGCCATCTTCTGGTTCCTACACTGCAACAGTCACCCCCAGCCCAGTCACAAAAGTGAAGGATTGTCTTATGTTTGCACTGCAGGTGGGGGAAGAGGGAGGGTGAGGAGGGGAAAGGACTGGAGGCTCAGGAACTCAGAACATTTTTGTTCTTCAATTAAATGGCCATTAATCTTCAAAGCTCCCCCTTTGTCCACTTCACCTTGCCACATTTTAACCTTCCTAAGATGGAATGAATGAATGAATGAACGAACTCCAAAATCATCCATCACAGAAAACATACTGAAAATGGATTTCTGCAGAAGTGAAGCAAATAAGGTAAAACCTACAAGTGTATCTCTTTCTGTAATTATTTTCAGATATCTGCTTTGCTTGTTCATTTAGTTGTACTATGTTTTACTAGGAATATGGCTTTCAATAATGTTTCTCACCCAATGAAACACACACATACACAAACACATACACACACACAAAGATTTTTTTAGAACTATACTATATGGCTTGGAGGCATTTCATGATAAAAGGAAGTTAAAGAATGTAGGGAACAAAAACCTTGTGACCTTGGGTTTGTGAATATATACATTATATACACACACACATATATACACATATATACATATTATATAATATTACATATTATATTAAATATATATTTTTTCATATATATGAAAGAATATCAACAAGAAAGTTAATATGAATTACTATGGTAGAAGAGCTTTCTCTCCAGGAGGGAGAATAGAAGTGTGACCCAACCAAAGAATAAAAAAGAAAAGCCCATAATTATCCATWTGATTGTTCTTATTCATTGATATAAAAGTCTATATAATGTGTACATTTGTGGATACAATTTGAGAAAAAAAATTAAAGAAAAAAGGAAAATAGAAAAGATGAGAAATGGAGGCAGCAAAAATCTAGAATAATCCATCTATGATGATTTTGTATCGCTAGAGGGAAATATGAATAATCTTTAAGTTAACCTTCCTAAGATGGAATGAATGTATCTAAGTATCCTAGGGGAACTTTTCTGTTTTGCTTTGGGATGTTCTTTTATTTGTCCTAAAGAAAAACATCATTCCTAGGGAGTCACAATTGATCAAATCCTATTACAGTGAATTCCCTGGTGGGTATGAATGTGGTATTTCATTGGATGACTCACCTTCCACTTTCAATTCCATTGCTGCCTCTTCTTGGTAAGAGTGATCTCGGAAGAAACAGGTGAAACCTCCTTCATCTGAGAACCTTACATTCCGGATCCTGAGAGTCACCTTTCCTTCACCAATAGTCTCTTTCAGCAGCTCTGTCCGGCCCCGATATTCAGGTGCCTGCTCAGCATCTTGGTCCTTGCCATTTCTGTAGAGATGGACCACCCTAGAGAAGGGGGGGCGGTACCACCCCACTTCCATGCCTGTAGCATTCTTCCCAGGAGATAAGCGACATGGCAGCTCCACTTCATCCCCGACCAGAGCCCGGATGGGGTGCCCTGGGCCTATCACTCTGAACTGTCCTGTCCAAGACACCAAAGAGAAGAAACTGAGGGTCAGAGGGGCCCTTGACATGGGAAGAGCTGTTTCGAACAAGAAAGGGAGGAACACACTCAACTGTTAAGTGGAATTCAAAAGTCAGTGAGGAGCTCATTTTTTCCTTTTGAGCATATACCAAAACAGTCTCTAGTCATGTCCTGATTGTCTTACACAGAATATTCTAGTATGTGATCATCTTGACAGCTGCTGCCCACATTTTTTGCCAGCAGCATCCATCTTTGATTCCCACCAATCCTTTAGATTCTACCTTGGAATGTGGTCCAGTATCTTGAAGTTTAGTTCTCCCATGCACCTCCCCGTTTTTCCTAGCTATACTGGTCCCCTTTCCCCTAGAGGTTTTGCTTTCATCACCCTCTATGACTTCTCAGCACTCTGTCCTTGTTCACACCCTGTTCCCCAAATTCTACTCTAAGATCTTCTAGGGGTGGCTCTACTTCACTCTTCTTTACTCAATGCACCTTCAACCACATTCCAGATCTTGTCCCTGCCTTAATATCTACAAGTCTTTTTCCTATGAAGACAGGTTTTCCAAGCTAGACTCTGAGCTACCAGATAAGGCTGGTTTCTTCCTTAGATCCTGGGGATGGGCTCTGGTTTCAGAGATCTGAAAATATTTCTCCTGCGAATATCTAGACTGGACCTATTTGTGAGTCAGGGGTCTCCCTGAGGTTGGAGCCTTGTCTTCTTTTCTTTATGGTACTGGAAATTAAACCCTGGGCCTCAAGAATGCTAGGCAAGTGCTTTGCCACGGAGCTATATCCTCACTTCAAGAAATCAGCATTTTAGTTAGATGTGGTGGCGCATGCCTATAATCCCAGCTGCTTGGGAGGCTGAGGCAGGAGGATTTCGAGTTCAAAGCCAGCCTCAGTAATGATGAGGCACTAAGCAACTCAGTGAGACCTTCTCTCCAAATAAAATACAAAATAGTGCTGGGGATGTGGCTCTATGGTTGAGTTCCCCTGAGTTCAATCCCCAGTAAAAAAAAAAAAAAAAAAAAAAAAAAAAAAAAAAGAAAAGAAAACAAAGAAAAGAAAGAAAGAAAAAAGAAATCAGCATTTTTTTCTTTCTTTGTGGTGCTTGGAATTGAACTCAGGACCTCATGCATGCTATATAGCTACACTACCACTGAACTACACCCCTAGCCTTTCTGTTTCTTTTTTTTGTTTTGTTTTGTTTTAAACATGAAACACTTCACGAACTTGCATGTCAACCTTGCTCAGGAGCCATGCTAATCTCAATTGTTCCAATTTTAGTATACATGCTGCTGTGCTGTGCTGCTGAAGCAAGCACTACTTCTGTTTCTTTTATTTCTCCTCTACGTGGGATAAAAAAGTTCCCCCATGAAAACTTATGGGTGCCCAATTCTGCAGGGCAAGTTCTCAAACATAACAATATGTTATAACTCAACATTTATTGGAATTTACTACAGGCATTGCTAAGCATGTTACATATCTCATCTTATTTAACATTAACAGCAACTGCAAGAAGTTATAATTTTATCCCCATTTGAGAGGTGAAAAATCAAAGCCTGGGCTAGGGGTGTAACTCAGTGGTAGAGCGCTTGCCTAGCATGTTTGAGGTCCAGGTTCTATCTCCAGCACCACACATGTGCATGTGAACATGCCATATATGAATTCTCTCTCTCTCTCTCTCTCTCTCTCTCTCTCTCACACACACACACACACACACACATACACACACACATACACACACACCAAGTTTGGATTCTATTCTGAAAGGAGCCACAGAGGTTTTGGAGGAGAACTGTGTTAGTAGATCTAAGTTTTTAGAAAGATAACTCATATAGCTGTTTGAGAATGATTGGAGGTGAGCCCTAGGAAACTATCCTTTCTGTTCTTGGGTCTCCACACAGCAGGGATAAACAAACCTTACCTGCATAACTGGAAGACAGCTGAAGGAAGAGAAGGGTGAGGACACAGCTGGGTAGAGAGAAGCTTGATAAACCTGCCATCTCTGCTGTTACTGGGGACAGAGAGTCCCCTTGATGGGGTCAGGCCAAGCAAAGACCCTTGGGATGCATGTCCCTTACCCCTGGGAAGCTTGAAGGGAGGATCTGGGAGGAAGTACTGCCTAGGGCCCTGCCTCCACTCGGGCCACTGCTGCAGCTGTGCCCTTAGGAACAGCTCCACGTCACCCTTGCCAGACACTTATACAAAAGGGCTACAGACTAAGGGGATGACCAGGATTTGCCTTCCCCACCCCCTCCAGAGCAATGGAGAAGTGTCTGCCTGGTACTGAACCTTCCTCTCTTACCACCTCCCAGTGACCCAGTCTTCTAGGGGCCAGTGAGATTGATCATTCACTGGACCTCAGAAGAGACTTGTTCATGGAGCCTGTAAGGTTTTTTGGATCCCTCTTACCCCCTGGAATTAGTGAAGGGAGCATGATTATTGTTGACTCTTTAAAGGAAGAGGATCAGCAGCAGGAGGAGGAGAAAGAGGACAAGGACAAGGAAAGACTATTTAGCCTTGGCTTCCTATTTCTATTGTCTCACAACTGACATTACCAGGTCATTTTTCTTGATGTCAAATTCCCTGTGTTCTACTACAAATCCAGCTCCCTTTCTTATGCTTCAGATATGGGACAGGTTTCTTGAGCTTACTTAGTCTTTTACCCCCAAAGAATGTGCTTGGCAAAGTTATAAGGTTGACATCAGGAACTGATGATCATCTCTTCCCAGAGAGGCAAGCATGGAGGAAGAGAATCAGCAACTGATTGATGATCAACACAGGCATCAGGGACAGAGCCGGCATGCAGGACACATCCCTCAGCCTTGTATTGTTCTCTGTTTTCCTTGGTGTCACAGGGGAAAGAGAGTGTGAAATGAATATGAACTTTTTTCTTACCTCAGACTCAGCTGAGAACTGCACAGGTGAGACCAGCATTGACACAAAGTTTCTAACTTATTATTATTAATCTGGGGATAAAATCCAGGGCTGCAAGCATGCTAGGCAAGTACTTTAGCACTGAGTTACATCCCCAGCCCTATTTCCCAATCTAAAAGCAAGAATACCTCATCAAATAAGAAAAAAAGGGGAAGGGTAGACAATTTAAAGCCAAGTTGTCCAACATGGTATCACTAGCTACAAAGAGCCATTAAAGTTAGAATTAATTAAAACAAAATAAAATAAAAAATTCAATTCCTGATTGCATAAGCTGTTTCAAAAAGCTCATAGCACCCCAGCTAGTGGTTACCACATTGGACAACACAAATGCAGAGCATTTCTATCATCACAAAAAGTTAGTCAGGCACACAGAAGGTAACATTGGGAAATAATGGGTAGAAGCATGTGGGGCATACACTTTTGCTTTTCTCTGACACAGGCATAACAGGCTAGAAGGACAGATTATAGTTAGCTGAATATGAGACTTGCTTATTCGTTCTCCCTGCAAGATAGATGAGTTTGGGCACAACTAGGGTTTGGCTAATTTGGAGTCCTAAGCTTGAAAGTCAAGGTCAGGGGAGTGAATCTCATGTGAAAAGGAGGCACCATGTATCTGCTGACTTCCTTTCAAGTGGAAATTCTCTTTCCAGAACCCAAGTGGCCTGGGATGCTCTGACTCCGTGATGCATATTCAGTAGGTGAGTCATGCAGAAGATGCTTTTCTAGGTAGGGATGGTGGGGTGTTTGTAATGGTTCAGCACCAGGCCAGCTGTCAAAAGCTAGATGAGAGATCAGGATGGGGGTGGAAGAATGGGAGTGTTAGGATGGTCAGAGTGAATCAGGAACTAGTCAGCCAATCAAAACCCTTTTGGGGAAATCACAACATCTCTGGGAAAAAAAAAATCAAAACCAAAAATCCTACCACTTTATTGAATGCTTCCATGTGTCACTCTTCCAATCAATTTATATAGATTAACTCATTTAATCTTCATAACAATAAAACAAACATTAAAATATTTTGTTCCTCAAAAAGTTGAGGAACAAAAGAAGTAAAGTAACTTGCTCAACTAGGCAGCAACAGAACAGGGATTTCAAGCCAGGCTTTCTAGCCTCAGCATTGGCATTTGTGGCCATTACACTACAGGGCACCTGATGAGTCACCTTACTTCTGTCTGTGCTTTCCGATACCTCATATCTCCTGAAAGAGAATGGATTCCTGGAGCTATGATGAGAAGTYCATTGGATGACATGGTTATTGAGCAAAGTTGATGTATATAAGAGAAGGGAGAGAAGCCACCAGCAAAATGAAGCTAACAGGGTTGCCACATACAGAAATCTGGGGTGTAAGCTGGGCATGGAAGTACATACCTAGAATCCCAGAAACTTGGGAGATTGAGGCAGGAGGATGGCAAGTTCCAGGCCAGCCTGAGCAATTTAGGGAGACCCTATCTCAAAAAATAAAAAATAGGGGTGGGGTTGTGGCTCAGCGGTAGAGTGCTAGCCTTACAATGTGAAGACCTCGGTTCGATCCTCAGTATCACATAAAAAAATAAATAAAATAAAGGTATTTTGTTCAACTACAACTAAAAAATAAATGTTAAAAAAATAAGAGAGAATACACACTAGAATGCACTATCTTGCATTCACAATGAGGAAAGAACATTTGAGAATCTACCAAGAAGTCTGCAATTCAAGGAGGGAGCCCCCCTCACCAGACACTACCCCTGCTGACACACTGATCTTGGACTTATAGTCTCAGAACTGTGAGAAAATAAATTTCTAAAAATATTAAAAATAAAAAAGGGCTATGACTGTAACTCAGTGATAGATAGAGTGCCCCGGGTTCAATCTCCAGTGCCAGGGAAAAAAAAGAATTCCAAGATGTGACTGTGACCACAGAGCATTTTAACTTTTAGTGTCCCCTTGTAGGCATGGGACCTTTTGCAACTATTATATCCTGGTCACATAATAGTTGTGTTCTTAAGTTATTCTGGTGGGTCCACTGAGAATAACAGACTACAAAATGTTTCCACTTAGCCAGATGCTGTAGGAGTCCTAGAAAAATAAAAACATGCTTTTTTTGTTTGTTTGTTTGTTTTCAGGCTGGGGGTGATCTTGGGCATTTAACCCAGGATACTCTACCACTGAACTACATCCCAGCACTATTTAATTTTTAAAATTTATTTAGTTTTGTAAATAAATAAATTCTGAGGATTGAACTGGCCATTTCGAAACTGGGCAACTGTCACTTTGCTTATCATCTTGGAGCTGAGCTACCTCTCCAAACTTTTTGTTTAAGCTGTTGATAGACTTTTATTTTTTTTTTAAACTCTTTTTTTTAAGAGAGAGAGAGAGAGAATTTTAATATTTATTTTTTAGTTTTCGGCAGACACGACATCTTTGTATGTGGTGCTGAGGATTGAACCCAGGCCACACGCATGCCAGGCGAGCGCGCTACCGCTTGAGCCACATCCCCAGCCCCGATAGACTTTTATTTTATTTACTTATATGAGGTGCTGAGAATCGAACCCAATGCCTCACACACGCCAGGCAAGTGTGCTACCACTGAACCACAGCCACAGCCCCTCCCCAACCCCTTTTATTTTTATTTTCAGGTAGAGTCTCAGTTGAAGCTCCTTGAACTTTCCATCTTCCTGCTTCAGCCTCCTGAGTTGTTGGGATTACAGGTGTGTGCATCACTGTGTCTGGCAGTTTTTTCATTTTTGTGTGTTCCCCATTATTCTTCTGAAATTCACCAATATTTTCATATTTTTCAAGGGAAAGAATTYAGCTTTTTATGAATCTGATGAAATCAGTTTGCTTCTCTTCCCACCCCACTCCCTAAATAGGAATGGGGTTTTGCGTATTTTAACCAAATGCTATGGGATGTCGTGTGGAAGAGGCGTTAGATAGTTCTGTGGGCCTATCGAAGTCAAATTTCAGCCCAATCCAAAGATGACTTTCTCCACCAGAGCTGTCCAAGGTGGGAATGGACTGCAGGAGTGAACTTCCCATTCCTGGATGTTCCCGCCAGCATAGAACAGAAGTTTCTCTAGAAGACCCTGAGTTTTTTTTTTTTTTTTTTTTTTTTTAATTCCTCTTCTTTTCCTGCTCTTCCATGCCTCCTTTCCATTTCCCTGTCATCTTCACTTTTCACCACTTTGATTGCTGGATCTTGCAGGTAAGGAAGGAGGTGCTCCCAAATCTGCCCAGCAACAGCAGACGTCAACCGCTTCACCACTAGTAATAGGTTGCCAGGAGCCTYGGGGCAGGAGAAGAAGCAGCGATCACAAACCCTCTCCAGTGAGGTGTCTGTGCGCGAGGTGTCTGTGCGCGGCGCTTGGACCCTCACTCCCYACCGGCAAAGCCTTTGTCTTTTTACTTTATACCCTCTGCCCTTGGTTACCTGCTTTTCCGCCGCTGCTTTCTCTCTTTTAATCCGGCCCAGAAGCCTGCATCCTGTAGTATTGGAACAGGAAGACCCAGTGGCCATTTTAGCACCCTAGTCCAGTCCCTGGGAGGAGGACCCACCTAGTGATGGCCCTTCTTTCACTAGAAGCTCCTCGAAAACGAGGGATGTGCATTTATGGCTGTTTTGAAGCTGCGCAACTGTAGTTTTCTTTATCATCTTGAAGCCTGGCAGTCACAGTTGATTTTTTTTTTTTTKTTGTATTTATTCCTCTAGCAGAGAAAACTATATGAAGGGATTGCTTATGTAATCTAGACTCATAATATCCTTATTTCAGAATATAGAGGACCTGGCATCAGCATAAGCCTGGAATGCTCAGATGCAAATACCAGCTCCCCACTTTCCTAGATGATGAAGGAACACTAATTAGCKGTCCTGTAAAAAGACTGGTGAACTCTTGCAGATAGTTTAAAGAAAACTCAGGTTCTTTATCTACAAATGGGGATTATACTGCTCACTTCATGTGACAAATTTCAATGTTTCAATGAGAGGAGGTACATAAAGTGCATAGGTAGGCCTATGTCTGATTCTCCAAAACAAACAAAAAAGCAAAAAAAAAAAAAACAAAAAACAAAAAACCCACAACTGTTGTACAGAACCTGTACATAGAATGCCCGCCCATAAGGCATA